TTTTTAGCTTGTTCATGTTGAAACATGTCAATACCTAGTATATTAAACTATAATATACAGGGCACGACAATCAACATCTTGCACACTAAATACTTATGAAATTAGATCGAACAGAAACAATTATGATTCTAAACGTAGCAGAGGCATAGAAAAAATGAAAGATGATAGATAAGGAACTTGAATGACAAAAATAAACCAAGCAGCCAGCCCCTTTTCTTTAACTGAAACTTGTAATTACATAGTAACCTTACAATTTGCAAGCCAGGTTCAAAAAAATTCAAACAAAAAGGATATAACAGTTTAACAATAGCAGGTACAAAGTATAACCTGGTATCCTGGTCGACCATCTTCTGAAGCTGATGCCTTTCATCTTCTGTTAAATCTAAGGCAACCTGCACATTACATGAGAGGCTCTAGAATATTCATACTACAGTAATTACTAAAATTCATCATTTCACACACTGATAAAAATTATATTACAATAACCATTTCATTGCATCCAACCCAAAAAAAATTCAAGATCTAAAAACAGATTAATCACATGGAAATTACATCAACTCGAAGTCGGCATCATCTAAAATTAATTGAAAAAGGAAATTAAAAAGAAAAAACCTGTTTAGCGAGAAGTTCTCTCTCAAGGTTGCCTGTAGCAAAGAAAGAAGAGTCGGGACCAAAACGTCGGCGAACGGAGGTCCAGTAGGGAAACGACAAGTGGGTTTTGGAGTCTAGAACCATTGCCATGACCTGGTGTAGTGTTGTTGGTACAAGCCTACAAGCGAAGAAGCGCGATGCCGATTTCGAATTTGAAAGAACGATGATCAGGTTTTGGCAGGTTCTAGTCTTCTGCTGGAGTAGAGCAAACAAAGACACTTTATAAAAATTTTGGGTTAGGCCCAATGGGATCCATTCAGTGGTGGCAGACCGCAGAGCGCAAACCCACACTTCGGACCGTCCTTAGGTTAGTGACAGTGGCAGCGGAGCCACAAATTTTTTTTTACAAGGGGCCGAACGAAATTTTGATATAAAAAAAGAGCTTTTTCATTAATTAAAAAGCTTATAAAAATAAAAAATCTTTAATTTGAATCCATGGTATACGAGTAAGCTAAAATTAAAGAATGAGAAAAAGTTATTACGTATTTGTGCAATGTAATATTAAAAAAAAAAAAAAAGGCTGATAAGAAAGAAAATTTTAATTAAAAAAAATTATTTTAAACTAAAATTTGTTAGTCTTTAATGATAAGCTAGTTCTAATTGATGGTATAGTACCATATATGACATCAATTGAAAGATAAAATAAATATATATTGAATAGAAAAACACTAATAAACAAAAAAATAAAAATAAAAGGGTATTAATGAACAAAAAAAATAATATTAATGAACAACTATTTTATAAAAGGAAGATATTAAACAATTTTGTATTCAATTAATTTTTACTTTTTATCATATTTTATTTTATCTTCATTTTTCTTGTTTTTCTCATAAACACTAAACCTAATATTTGAAAAAATAATAGTTAAAAAATGATTAAATTGCATGAAATATAAGTAAGGATTAAAAAAATAAAAATTTAATTTAATGGACTAAAATTTTATTTCTTACAAGTTTAAAGGGGCCTGTGCCCTTTCATGCCCACCTTATCTCCACCGATGCCCATTGATATTAGGAGCTCTTCTATAATAAAATCTCTATTTTACTTTAGTTGCCTATTGTTCCCTTCTTACAATTTTATGAAAACATTCAGTCATTGCGAGAACAACAGTCAACTAAAGAAAAAATTGGTGTGATAATTATTTTTAAGGAAGGGACACTTCCATTGCCTATATTCCAAAAAAAGAAAATTGGTGTGATAATTATTTTTTAAGGATGTGACACTTCCATTGCCTATATTCTTAAAGAAAAAAGAAAAAGAAAGATGTGACAATAAGTTGGATTGCGGTTTAATTGACTATTGTTCCCTTACAATTTTAAGAAAACATTCAGTCATTGCGAAAACAATAGTCAACTAAAAATAATACTTGAGTTTTTGGGTTCAGTGATATCAAATCATGTATATATATAAGTGTATTTTTTTACTTTCAAGATAACTGTTTGAGTCTAACTTCTTATAGATTTAAAAAAAAAAACTCCACTAAAGAAAGAATGTTAAAAAAACATACTCAACTAAAAAATGTGAAAATTATTTTTAAGGATGTGACACTTCCATTGTCTATATTTCAAAAAAATAAATAAAAAAAAAGGATGTGACAATAAATTGGATTGCAGTTTTGTACTTACTATTTTAACCCTATTCTGGCTTCGTATTAATCCACGTGTTAGCGTTAAAATTGTAAGAAGGGAACAATAGGCAACTAAAGTAAAAATTGGTGTCACAATTATCTTTCAGGGTGGACAATGACTCTGGGTCCATCCTGCCCCACAATCCAGCCCCGCCTTCCCTATATTTTATAAATGCCCCCTCCCTCTCCCCCACTCCACTTCACCTCTTCCCCTCCCCGCAACTTCAATGGCAGACCACTTCACGAATAAATTCCACAGCCAGAGCCAACCTTCTGCCTCCAAACCCGCCAAGCATGCAGCAGCTCCGTCCACCACCTCATCTCCGCGACGTTTTCCTTGCCTCTACTGTCCCCGAGCGTTTGACACCTCTTAAGCTCTCGCCGGCCATCAGAATGCCCAC